ATTACACCACCAACATTCCAGGCTGTTTTTGGATGTTCCTCACCCATAGCCGCTACATATTCGGATAAGGAGCTCAGCTCGCGAACACGATATCCTCCTCCGATCATTGACATGGATTACGAACTAGATTCAACTATGATGGCAAACAACCAACGAGTTTGACAAAGTTGGACCTGTCCGGAAGCCATCATATACGGATCCTCAGCAACAGTGAGCATAGCTTGGCTCGATGACCGAAACAATCAAGCATATTGCCGATTTCCGATTATAGCGCTGAGATCGTTGATGTGTACGCGTGCGAACACGTGTCGTCAGTGACGACAGCCGGTGCGAGAGGGCTGCAACCATGAGACATCGCGCGAGATCGTTGCCGATCTATGCGATCATAATGTGTCCCCAGTGATGACGTTATCTGGGTAGAAAAGTGCGATGCTCCGGTGAAGACCATCGATGAAGTCGTCAATATTCCACCAGTCAGGGAGGACTCCCTGCAAAGAGATGACGAAGCAGAGAGCTATTGATGCTCGACCAGTCTGTGCGGCAGAGAGCGTCACCTTTTTGTACATGCGTACAGACTTTATCCTTGTGCTTGCGTACAAGTGTGAGAATAGGATACATTCCGTGCTATTGATCTTGAGCATTGAGCGTTACTAGCTCCTAAGTCCGTAGCCATCTTGGCTCAAGGTCTCAGTGTACGTTTGGGTCGCATCTCTCCAGCTAATGTCGGGTCGTGTTGACACAAGGGAACGACAGGAGGCACCGGACATCAGCAGAGCCGACCGATGGTCTGGAAGCCAGCCACTAGTGAAGTACCAGTGAGGAAGGCATCAAAAACAACTCCTTTGGTCCACGATGACCGCCGACAGCGCGTTCTTGCAGCTGTAGAGGAGATGGGTTTGAGACCAGTGCAGCGGAGAAAAAGGAACTTCCAACTATGTGGGGCCTGCCTCCAGTACACAGCGCAGACAATCGTCTTTCCGAACGGCCTGCGTCACCACACTATTCGCCGGGGCGAGGGAGCGATGGGTAGGGGGGGTTATAGATCGCGGTGCCCGTTTGTGGACACCCTGGACGAGCTCGAGGAATGCATGGAAGTTAGGCGGAAACGTACCGCAGGAAGGTATGGCCGCTACAATGCGAAGCGGCAGTGTATTCAATGAAAGTAAGGCTTGTTCTCTAGAAAGTCCTACGATATTGGTCTCTGCTCAGGTTGCTGTTCTTGTTACCTATCAGTCAAATAATGAATGCTTGCATTCAAATTCCGTGTCTGTGTTGCATAATAGTGATTGGAAGCAAGGAGGCATAAGTGAAAATTTTTCTTCTCTCTCTTTCTTTTATCCTCCTCCTTCTTCCCCTTCTCCCCCTTCTTCCCCCCCTTTCCTCCAGCCGCTTTTCCCCCGCAGACGTTGGGCTCCGAAGCTAGTAGTGTTTCGATTAGCATGCCTGAATGAAAGTAAGACAGCCACCTGTCTACCTACTGAAACACAACAGATTAACCTTTTAAACACGGTGAGTGTATGCTCATGATGATTTCTTCAGAATGTCTTCCGCGCTAGAGTTCCACGGAGGTTATTCTTATCTTCCTCATACTCTTTCCGTGTGACACACATGTACTCCACAAACGTACTCATTGATGCAATCATGGATCCACCGACCCACGCTGCGTACCTATCTCACATGCCAGAGCTCCCGCCAACCGTACGAATACAAGGATTATCCGATACAAATAAACAGACTCCTCCTGGTCGATTCTCGTGATGATATTTTCGCAAAAGAATACGTGCAAATTTGAAATAGACAAATCCAAGGACTATAGAGCACATATGGAGAAGACAACTAAGAGAAGCTTTTTGTGATACATCCTCGTGTAACAGACGTAGAGTATAGCCGAGATTCCTAACATGGACCGAAATGTCCAGTCCGTCGCAGTCAACAACACGTTCGACGGAGCAACTACAAACGTCCAACCAACGCGGCGCAGTGCTCTAGCTAGCACTAAGCCGATCAATGAATGGCTCGCTATACTTCATCACTTTCTCTGAGGATCCGCGTTCACTTTCACCGGCCCTGCTGAGCCTGATATTCCACTGTTATTCAGCTCATCCTCCAACCGAGAAGCTATCCCTGGTATCATGGAAGAACCACCAGAGATGTAAATGTTGCCGAGCATGTCAGTTCTGGAACATATCAATTGGAATACAGGACATGGGACCCCACACAGGCCTTGCCTTATTTCCGAGTCCACTATTTCGAGCGCCGAGCGGCAGATATCAGTTATCGTACCATCGACCGTGTTGGTCACGACATCATTGTTCTCCTTTGTGACAATATTCCCAGAAGAGAATAGCCTGAGGTATTCCATCAGGCGCTACCAGAACATATCAAGGATCGGTATACACGTCAGGAGCATCCAGGCAACAACCTTCATCGATCTGAACGATGCTCCCATCTGGAAGTTCGAAATAGCCGTCCTTGCAGCTCGCAGTAGAATCGGCCTATAGCAACTATACACTTCTCGTTTGCAGGCTCGACATTGTGAAGACTAACACACACATAAAGAGAGCGCGGCATAATACTTCTGAGATCACCACCTATCTACTACAACTACTACCTGGATCTGTTCTCTGTTCTGAGTATGAGCCGTCTGGAACTACACAACGCATGGGTTACTAACACTGCCAGCGAGCAGCTGCCTCACTCGACAGAATCTTTCCTTCATATCAGCATATATGAAATACTCGCGGCCCGACCTCGCAATCCCGGCCACCTTGGAAGCGATAGTAGGTTGACGTTGGGATATAAGCTTCTGCAATTGTTCAGTTATATCCATGCCTGTGAACACAGGTGAGGAAAGCGAGCCAAGAAGGGATGGTACCAGCCTTGTCCAAGCGGAAGGTAGCATGAGGGATGGCAAATCCTTGGAAAACCGGTGTGGCATGAGTAACCTACAAGCAGTGACTAGGATCGCGACGAGGCTCAATCATAGAGGATACCCCTTCCCCGATGTCGACCGCTAGCCCCGTGGGCATACCGGTGGAGAACAAGGAGAGGGCTGCTGTATTCATGACAGCAAAAGCCGGAACATTGAACTTCTCAAACATA